ATATATATATATATATATATATATATATATATATGATGTAGCGTTATTTGTAAATGCGGTGTTTGTAAATGTAAACACGATGAATTCATTAATTGTTTCTAAAGTTTTCTCCTTTCTGACGTCAATTTGAGTACAGATTGCTACAGATTGAGTGCAGAAAATAGTACATTCAAATGATATCATGTACTGTATATAGTACTGTAATATCGAAAATAAAGGAAAAGGAAAAAAGAAAGAAAGAAATATAAACAAAAGGAGAATTCGTAAGTTTATTACGAATACTTTTTAAATAAAAGTTATAGAGTTTGGTGAAAACAAGGTACTTATACAACACATGATATTATTTGTATATACTATTTTCATAGCAATCTGTGCTCAGATTGACGTCAGAAAGGAGAAAACTTTATATTTTAATATTAGAACCACTTAAATAATTTATCGTACTATCTGGGAAACATCAACAAACACAGTAACGCTACATCAATATTATAATTTTTTATTTAAAAGTGTGAGTGTTATTATATATAACACATGTATGTAACAGTTATATTGTTGAGCGAGTATACATATTATAATATATTAATGTAACGTTACTTTTAAAATTGGTATTGAATATTCTTCCAGTAAACACTAACTATCAATAACATAGTATCAATGTTATAATTTCCTACTTAAGAATGTAACTGTTACATAAAACATTACATTATATTCCATTTACATTGTTGAATGGGAAATTATAACATTAATGTTATGTTATTGTTAGTTGGTGTTTACTGGGTTTGTATATCTTTATCTGTGCATAAAGTGCATTATTATCCTTAAATTCATAATTATAAAATATACATCTATGTTTACTCTTCGATTACTTTAACATCTTTCTATATAATAAAATAAGAGAAATCGAGTATGACAGGAAATAATAGGAAATTATAACATTGATATTATGTTACTGATAATATTTACTGGAAGAATATTCATTAAATACCAACTTTACAAGTAATGTTACATCCACACACACACACACACACATATTGTAGCATTACTAATACACTGTTTGTTTCTGTTTCCCAATTAGCACAATAAATTCATTAAGTGTTCCTGAAGTTTTCTCCTTTCTGACGTCAGTCTGAGCACAGATTTCTATGAAAATATGTACAAATGATATCATATGTTGTATTGAAAATAAAAGAAAAGGATACGATAGGAATGGATAGATTTATTATTTATCCTTTTATTTATTCATTCTCTTACTCATATATTCATCTTGTCTTTCCATTTCGCTCTCTTGTGGTTTTTTACCATCTTATCATTTATCTTCACTTTTCTGTTTCCTCTTCATTTCTTCTCGCACATTCTCTCCTTTCTCTCTTTCTTTTCTCCTCCTTTTCTTTTCCTTTCTCTTTTATCTTCTTATTACTTAATTTAGCTATAAAAAATAAAAACGATACAAGGTATTCAAGTTTTACATCGTTATATATTTTTATTTTTATACATTCGCCGATACTTATCTGATATTATCCTTGTTAATTCCATAAACTTTTCTTCAAAATTATCACGGCAAACACTTCGCAACTTTTAAAACTATTATAAAATATAACCTCGTTATAAACCCATTCTTGTACGCATGAACTGTTATTCTGCCGCGATAACAGTTACAAGTCGGTAAATTGGTAATCGCAACATTCTCGCCATCCCGCCATCTAAGATATGTGATGGAGAATTCTGTGATGAAACGTTTCTCACGCGTAATTCATGATTTCAGACTTTGAGTTAAAATAGCTCAGCTTCTGGAGCACATAGAGCAAAAATAAAGGCAATTTTACGATATAATGTAAACCTAAAGAATCGACTAAGTCCCTCTAAAACTTCGTCAATTCAACTGTTGTAGCTGAAACGAAAATCTAGCCTACATTCAACTAAAGTCGTCACGTAATATAACACGGTAGGCCGCTAATGCTTCGCGCTTGCACTTGGCTTCGCGACACTACCGTGTCGCTTGATTCTCTGAAGAGGTTTTAAGTTAATTATAAATTCAAAAGAAGGAAAGAAAAACAAAATGGAAAAAGAATTTGTAAAAATTCCGGCTTCAGTAAAAAAATCTAAATTCTTTTGTATGAAGCAGTTTCTTTTTCTGCGAAGTGCATATATTGCCAACACATGGCAATAACTGACTAACAATCAGAGCTCTCAGTTTTGTTACATCAGCAGCATGCTGGCAGCGCGATCGGGAACTCACACAAGCGAGCGCCCGTGTCCGTGAACCTCACGCTCGCTTGTGTGAGTTCCCCCACCACGCTGCCAGCGTGCTGCTAATGTAACAAAACTGAGAACTCTGCTAACAATGCGTGAAAAACGTACAATTACCCCTTACTTAATAGGTTCAATTCAGATAGTATGGTCATTGTAAACCGAAATCGGGAATCGTTTAAACTGTTATACTTTATAATGACATCATTGAGAAAGGGCGAGCACATGTTTTATCTCGTGTCTTGTTTTGTTTTCTGTTAGAAAACCGTTCTGTCCAGCATAAAACAAGAGGATCCAGACTTCACCGGCGACGCATACAACAGTCTGGCCATCATCTATGCCGTGTTCTCGATCTGTAACTGGTTGGCGCCGTCTTACATCTCGATGACGGGCCCGCGGGTAGCAATACTCACCGGCTCTTGCTTCTACGTCTTCTTCATAGCATCGTTCTTCTGGCCAAACAACGGCCTATTGTACAGCATGTCTGCCGTGCTGGGTGCCGGCGCGGCGCTCATATGGACCGGTCACGGCCAATACCTGACGGAGAACAGCGACGTCGATACCATGTCCCGGAACGCCGGCATATTTTGGGCAATTTTTCAGTCCTCCCAATTCGCCGGCAACCTCTTCGTCTTCTTCGTCTTCAATACCGACGCAATCGACGAGTCGCAACGACGGACCGTCTTCAGCGTGCTCACCGGCTTGGCATTGCTCGGCACTTTAGTATTAATTTTTCTCAGAAAATCACCGCAGAAATTATCACTCGGTGAGGCCGAGGGTGTCTCCAGCGCCGATAAAGAACTCCAGCTGCCCGAGCCAGTGCCGCAGAAACCGCTGATGGCCGCTTGGTACGCGTTCGTATCCGCGTTGAGGCTCTTCCTCACGCCGCGGATGCTGATACTATCGCTCACGTTCATCTACACCGGCCTCGAGCTCACTTTCTACTCTGGCGTGTATTCCAACAGCGTTGGATTCACCGAGGCAATGGGCAAGAGTCGTAAGAGCCTTGTAGGAATGTCCGGCATCTTCATCGGAGTTGGCGAGGTCGTCGGCGGGGCGATATTCGGCATTCTCGCTTCCAAGGTGTCCCGCAACTGTGGCGGATCACCGGTGGTGCTCATTGGCCTGGTCGTGCATTTATTCGCTTTCATCAGCATCTTCCTGAACCTGCCGAACGAAGCATCGTTCGGCGAGACGAATCAAGCGGCCCACATAGCATCCTCGCCGATCCTCGCGATGGCCGGCAGTCTTGCACTCGGCTTCGGCGACGCGTGCTACAACACGCAGATCTACTCGCTGCTAGGAGTCCTCTTCGTGAAGGAGAGCGCACCTGCCTTCGCGCTCTTCAAGTTTTGCCAATCTGTCGCCGCAGCCATCAGCTTCGCCTACAGCACCCAAGCTGGACTGCACATACAGCTCCTGGTGCTGCTCATAACTATAATCTTAGGCACGGGGGCTTTCTGCTACGTCGAGTACATCGTCAAGAAGTCAAAGAACGAGAATCAACCGGAGATCGACCCGTCGCTCGTCGAGCCCGCGAGCAATGAAGATTAACGAGTTTGTCGAAGTGCAATAATATCCGGCAGGATCGTATGCAAGTGAGATCTCGTGAGTGGGAGGACATTAGAAAATCATGCGAGAGATCTCCAAGGAGACAGAAACGCTAACGGATCGCAGAACATGAAGAGCTTTGGAAGCGTACGCCCAAACAACACGCAGTCCAGGCCCTGCGATAGAAATCACTTGAAGAGGATTAAATTATTTTTGTAAACTTTTCGCTGTTATACGGCGCTCACATTCTCCCATAATTATTGGAAACTTCTTGTAATGTCGCAAATTTTAAACATGATCAACACTCAAGTTTCGTACAGACTGAACGAAATAACTGAGAATTATCGTGTAGCAAATTTCACTTGTTGAAATGTACCACTACAAAAGAGTTCTTATCGAGCAACGTGGTAGAAATGAATGTTATAATACATTCATATATTATAAGCATATATTAATTATATAATATTCATTTCTACATTAATTTGCAACTCAGGGTAACCGTGTGTTTTAAACTGTTCTCTAGAGTAATGCTTCTCGACAAGGATATGCATATGTGTCAAACATGCACATATGCATTTCTTTTCATCGTTGTTAACATTTTTACTGTAATGTCAGAATATCGCGTCATTTGCGCGAAATTGGAGAACACTGCCTAAAATCGATACGTAATCGCTTATACGGTTATTTGATTTTGTAAGAAATGATTGATCAATATAATAATTTCATCCTTTTTGTATGTTCAAGTTTCAAGGCTGTGTTAGAGAGCGTTTTTCGCAATGGCGCTACCTTGTAAAAATATAATAACGTATAATAGACGAGTGTTTGTCGCGAACTTCTTTTTTGTACTTGGTAAGTTTCGTTAGTTGCGAGATCGGATCTGTTAGCGTCGATTCTCGTACCATCCTTGCAACGCACTGCGTTTTTTTCACGTTGTTACTTGTATTCAGCTAGTCTATAACACAAATCCACTACAAGATTCGTGTTTAACTAGTCCGTAATGCACAATACACTGATGTTACGGTACTGATCGTATATGTGCGTGCGTAAGTAGGTGGGAGGATGAGTAGGTGAATGTTGGTATGCGCACATTGGTACGCGACATTTATAGTGCGAAGCTCAATCGAATTATTCGAGATAAAGTTAAAGATCGTGTTCCTATGATGTTTGCCATGAGTGTCGTGACGAACGCATAGATTAACTGCGTATGCATACAGGATATGTTGAAAGTCGGGCAATCGACAAATCTGCAGTCGGTCTGTCCTTTCTAAAAATTAAAACGATAAGATACAAAAATTAGTAGATTTAGTAATACTAATTATATTTATATAAAACATATTGTACATTCAATTGAAAATTTCAGATAAGAATTTTCGATTAAAGACTTCAAATAAGATAAACTTTTTTTACGAAAAAATACTATCCTATACTAATGCTTTAGAGCTAATTTTCTATACACACATGCCAAATTTATCATAGCAGAAATTCGACACAATAATTATTCACTCGAAATGTTCTAAGAATACGATAACTTGTATAATTTGCTTAATAATTGATGTCGCTCGGTAATGATATAAGCATTTTTATCTTTATGCTGTATTTATTTTTTATTCTTTTAGCTAGTTTTACCTTTCAATGGTGGTATTTTAAAAGATTGTACGACTTTTGAGACATCCTTATACATTGTATATTCTTACATGTCTTATCGTTTCTTTACATTTTAACTTTTATTCCTTGTCATAGATTTTGTATTAGATAAATTTTATGCATGAATTTTATGCATTTAGATATTCGTGGATAATAGATCAAACATATAACGACAAAAATTTTATTGATGATTAAATATTTATGACAATATTTCAAAGTATCTCTGCTTGCATAATCTTCGTAAAGAGAAAAGGACTTCATATTTTTTGTAATTTCTTACACACGCGTATATATTATATATTCTATTACATTCCACAATATATACATATATCTATATATATTACAGAATTCTCTCTTTTACGTAGAAATATATCACTCCTTGGATATATGTACCTGATAGAAAATGTTTATAATCTATTTCGAAAGAATGTACATACATACACACACACAATTTCCCAAGTTCCCGATACATTACAAGTGATCAGTCGAGATGATCATTATTGTTTTTATCGTTAGTGTTTATTATGAACAAAATTTTATGAAATACATGTATATAAAAATTTATCAATTTATGTACATATGAGGTTAACGTATAATGTTATTGAGAATAATAATTGTTGTTGGCAAATATATTTTTAATTAATTGTATCATTGTACTTTCTTTCAGTGTCCTGACTCCATGATTGTCTTTGTAGCAAGAATATATTCCTCTTTGACATTTAAAAATTTTGTTATATATATCAATTTGGAAAAGAAATACACGATTGTCATTTAAAGAAAATGTCTATAGAATTACTGAAAAGCTTTCATTTAATCTTAATTGTTAAATAATTTTCTAAATGAATTATTTATATACGTTTTTTCTATCAATCATATTGATAAGAAATAATGATAAAATCATTATTTAACATTTATTTTAGTCTATGCAATTGTATATAATTAATTCCAGTATGTAAATAATTTTTTGATTAGTTTTCTCATATATATATATATGAGAAAACTAATCAAAATATATACACACACATACACACACCATTTGTGTTTCATCACTTACCGTTTTAACGTCATTAATTCATAACTTATCGTTTGTATTAATCATCGAGTTGACAAAGAGAAGCTACACCTCTCATAATCCAATGTAACTCGTTTAGGTCCGTCGGCAATAGGATATATAATATAAAGTTGGACGAGTGTCCCGTGGTAGACAAAACACCGCGTCTAGCGCTCGTTTTGTACACTGGACAATGGTAGACGTCTCTTATGACGAATTCAGCCTTCAAACCAAGCTTCAGCCATATAACAGGTAACACATCGAACATTATTTTAGGCTTAGATTCATCCAGTAACATTTTCTCTCTATTCCAACGAGCTCCATCCAAAAAGAGACCCTGAGAGAACGATAAATTGTATAAAATTACAACGAAACAAAAGATAAACCACTAATATTTATGTCCTAGAATAGAATCTCACATACAGTTATATAAACTCCATAAGAAGGGGCTTCCTTGACGTTCCTTGATTCGAACTGTGTGATTTCGAATTGAAAATCTAGTTGATCGATTGAAATCTTGTGCAGGCGAGCATAATTTTGAAGCACTGCAGTGAGAAACGACTGTGTAAAGAAGAAACCGGATATCCAAAAGACGTTCGGTGCGTCGTGCTCAATCCAGTCGTCCAGAAATTGTAGTCTCGTCAACAAGTCGTTCACGTAACTGCCAAGTGGCTTCAGGGATGGGTACGATTTTTTATCCCAAGCCTGCGGTACCTTACCCACGCTCATGCTAATATAAACTTCCTCCAAATCCGCTGACATCAAAACTTGCCCTTTGATCGCTTTCTGCACGTTGTTTAATGAGTCCGTGATGACTCTGGTTAGGTCATTAAATTTGATAAGCTCTTGGTACAGAACTGTATTCATACTATTCATGTAGAGAATCGGATATTTTTTCAACACGTCTTTTACGTCGAATTGAGCCGGTATTCTCGACAAAATATCAGCGGCCAATGCAAAAATCACTTCGTCCATATCTTTCACAACACCTGATAACGATTAGCAAATATTCTATGAATTCTAGCAATAATTACACTTGTATAAAAAGACTGAAGAGAGTAAAACTCGAAAGAGATGGACACTGGAAAGATGTATCTATCTACTTGCCTACTCCGCTAATTTGCGGCTGAGTAAGAAGTACGCTATCTAATAGTTGCCTCGTTTCCCGATTATCCTTCGTTATGTCCGCATTGTCGTGCAAACCGTAAACTTCTGGCAACTGATTGATTGGTAAATTACGAATGTATACCAAACACCCCTCGTAATCGATGTCATCCGCTAGGTGGTAAATTCCACTCGGCGAAAAGCAATACCTGTGGTCAAGTAAGTGCAAAATAATTAGTATTATTTACTACATATAATAATAATAACATAAATAATTAAAATATAATATTATAAATAGTTTTATATATATTATATATAATAGAAATAATATAAATAAATATATTTATATAGTATTTTTTACTTTATTCCTCAAATTTAACTTTCCTCAGAGAAAAATTGACTCTAAGTGAATCGAGGAATTCAGTTTCTGAATTGTTGAATTCTTTATAACAAATTCGAGATAAAGATAAGATGTTACCGTGGATTCCTAATAACTTCAGGATTATAGAAATTCTTCAGCAGCGCGTTCAGTAAGCGTCTATCTTTATCGTCAGTTACTCTGCCTCCATAATTGCATTCTCCTGTCAAGTATATAAGCGCCTCAAACGGTACTTCGTCGTAGTCGTTTATGAATAACTGGAACGACGAAAAAAAGAAAATGGATATATTATGATAATTCGTGTTTCATAGTAACATCGAGCAAATTAACAAGAGAAAATCTTGTTGAAGTACTTGTAATTGCAGGATACTGATACGTAAATCGGACTCGTTGAACTCGTAGGGTATGTTCCATCCCAGCGGGCCAAAATTTCGCCGTTCTTGCACTACTGCGTGAAAGAAGCATAAGGAAAACAACAAATGACGCCACTCCACCAATTTCGTACAGCCACGAAAGAACTTGGGGTCTGATATAGGATCGTTCAGGTAACTTCGCAGCAAATTGTTCTTCAAGCCCTTCGGTGGCTCGTTCGTCATCTTAACGCCATTCTGTAGTATAGACACTGGAAACCCGTCGGACGGGTAACTGGTCAGCCAGATACGGAAGTTCGGATGTGTCTTCTCAGGCACGATGACCTCGTCGCATATCCTGTCGAGTTCCTTCATCCACGACACGGCGAGATGACAATTCTGCAGGATTACCCACTCGCCGCTCTTGATGCCGCGCTCGATCATGCCAGACGCGATAGGACCTTGACCCTGACCCAACGACGTAGTCATTAGATTTTTCTTCGAGATCCCGTGGTCCTCGGCGAACTTTATCAGGCCAGCCATCGGATCCGAGCCCGGTGAGAGCACAAAAATGATAGGTGTGACGTTGCTTGAATCGTTGTACGAGCTTTGAAGATCGAATGGCGGCGGTTCCACGAACGATCGACCCATGTGACGTATGACGAACGCCTGAACGGCGACGACCAATTTATCCATTCTCACGCATCTCAGGATCACGAGTCTTTTCAGACTGCCGTCGTCCTCGTCCTGAAACGGCGATGGTAACGGATAATCCTGTGGATTCGAGAGATCATAGTACTTTTGCCAGTGCGATATGTTAGACTGGAAGGATTCTTTCAGCGGTTTGAGGCCTGGCAAGAGACTAGCTCTCACTACTTCCGACCAGGATTTCTCAGATAACCAAGAGGGATCGGGATTCGGATAAGGATTATCCAAAGCGACTCCACCTGTCAGCAGAAATACCCAGAGGTCCTCTTCTAATTTGTGAGAGGCGCGCAGCAGACCAGCGCAGAGTACTAAGGAAAATATCAGCTTGTCCTTTTCGAACAAAGAACGACACACGTTCCTGTAGATGGTCGCTGTGAAGTACGAATTGAGATTATCCATGCGAGCGTTCAGATCGTCAGACTTCTCGCTGTTGGCTATCGCCATGACGTAGAGGTGCAAAAACCACGGTAAGGAATACTGGTACATGGGATCGATGTTCGCCAATTCAGAGATGCAGAAGAAGAGAACCGCGCCGTGCTTCGACACAGGTAAGTAGCCATTGCGAGCTCTGTCTATCTCCTCCGACGTTGTGATCGCGACCTCCTGCTTTGCCTGAATGTCCTCCGACATCACTTTCGACGTCGAGAGTATCTTGATAGCGGTCTCATCCTCCAGTATATTGCCCTCCGACGCCGAGAGCACCTTTAAAATCTGGTCCTCGAGCTCCTTCAGTATCCGTTTGTTGTTCGCACCCTCCACTATTAGTTGATTCTTCTTCTCCTCGAGAATCGGCAGCTCCTTTGCTACGACTATACCCAACAGTTGGTCCTGTAAACCTTGTGGCGTGATCATGAAGTTCAATAGAGTCACTTTGACCGCCACTTCAGGTAAGTAATGTGGATTTCTAAGACGCGTGGTGATGTAAAATCGGAAGTTCGGGTTGTACTCTAATACAACTTCACCGAACTTCATGTACAGAACCCCGAGTTTCTTATATACATTTTTCAACAGCACGGGCTCCAGCACCGCGTCGATCTCCTCCAAGATATTCTCTAGCAGGACCGGCGTACCGAATTGAAGACTCATTTCTATTACTCTAGCGTAATTCGGATCCGTAAGCTTGATTATTACCAAAGCGTTCTGCTTCTCCATATTCTTCACCCATTTGTTAGCCTGATTTTGCGGATCGATCATGAGCGGCCATCGGTCGGCGTTCTTCACAATTATTCCATTCTCTACGGAGAAATTGTCGGCCGGCAAACCTTGGATATTCCAGTTTCTGATTTCCACAGCATCGCCCAATATATCGATTAAGCTAAACTTCGTGCCGCACGGTATCACTGCTTGCGTACAAGAGGCGTGCCACTGGTCGATCAAACTGTTTCTATATTCCACGGTGAACGCCCCAAGGTAAGCGACTACACCAGATGATAATAGAACATCGCCGATCACGTTGTTCAGACTCGCACCAAGATTGGAAGCTGTCTCGCTCCATCTTATCTTCTCGCCGCCGAGGCCGCCCAACAATTTCTCTGCTCTTTCCAGCTTTTGCGTGCAATGATCGATCTGATCCTCGAGCTTTTTTTTCTCCCTCATACATTCGGCGAATTCGTCGTTTAAAGACTGCAACTTTTGCGATACCTCCTGCAGGAGGTTCCTTTTAGCGTTGAGAGTCTCCATCTGCATGGCCAGCGCGGCCTCGGCTTCCGCCAACATTGCTTTCTTCGGCGCGACCACTTTAATGACACGGTCGTACACCTCCATGGCACGTACCCATTTGCACAGACCCTCACAGGCGGCTGAGACCTTCTTAATAGCTTCTGGTTGGAAGCTCCTGTCGTTTATAAATCGATCGCGTATACGTTTCATATACGCGGGCGGTATGTTGTCCTTATCGAAGTTTTTTAAATTCTCCAAAAACTTCATATCGCCCAACAGCTTAATGGACGCAGGCCAATAGTCGTCCACTATCTGGCCAGTGGTTGGATCCTGCGCTTTGTCCGGTTTCACACCCTTCAATACGCATACTGCTTCCATGACCAGTCGAACGCCGGCCGGTGGACTCTTCATCGCCTTCACGATTGTGATGTCAGCCGGCTTGAGTGTATCCAACGCTGCTAGCGCAGCTTCCAATGCTGGTGTAGCTTCCGCCAAGTCGCTCTCGCAGTCGTCCTTTATAGCTTGTGCCGCAGCTGCCGCTTCGTTCGCCAGTGCCTCATCGGCCGCTACGATTTCTTTTTTCGCCTCTACATTCACTGTATCTTGCTCGATCCTGATCATTAATTTATCGCTCAATTGTGACTGCGCCACTAACTTTGGCTGTAATTCTTGTAATTCGTCCTGCATAACTGCCACTTGACCGGCCGCAAAGTCCAATTTCTCCAGACCAGTCTCGTAGCGATTCTGCTGTATCGTGATCTGATCAATCTTCTGTCCGTAGAGTCTATAGAGACTCTTAATCAGCTGTAAGAAACTCGTAGGAGTGACGTAGTATCGTCTGCCATATGTCAAATAGTATTCCTCACTCGTCACAGAAACGCTCGTATGGAATTGCTTACACATCTGCACACATTTCTCTCGCAGTTCGGAACCGATGTCCAGATCCCTCAATGATATCCTAGCTACTTTCTCGAGGGCGTCTTCTGGCCACAATGTGTACCAATCGATGGTGCAACAATTAATCAATGATGGAAACATCCTGAGACGATTGCGAAAAGCGTCGCCTATCGGTGACATCGTCAATATTATGTGCAGGTTCTTCTTGATCCTCTCGATGAAGAGATTGTAGAGTGCCATGGGCGTTATCTCTATCTTTCGGGCGCTTGGATCCCGTGCGATAGCCGTCATTTTATCCTGTATCTCTGCTTTCTCTTCCAACACGTACAGATTTGGTACATCCGCGGTGTTGAGAATCATGTTGATGTCCTCGATGAAGGATTCGTCTTTGATCTGATGGTCGTTGAAGAGAAAAACCGTGGGTTTGCCGTTGCAGCCGACGCGCAATAGCAAGCACTTCAGGTCTTCCCGCCACTCAGTTGGCCCATACATTCTCGTGATTTCAATCTGATGTATCAGATACTCGCACATGCTGGTTGCCAGTCGGGCACAGGAGTTGCGACCAGAACCGCCTATCCCGATGAGCAATGCATGACCTTTATCCTGCAGTAACACTCGAGACACGCGAGATACGTGTTCGATGGCGTACCTGAACAGCACTAAGTTCATTGGTGTTTGCGACACGGCGTTGTATTCAGCCAGATAGTATTCCATCTTTTCCTGGAGATTTTCTAGATCCGTTACCTCGTCGTATATCTTCGGATCGGCGTCGGGTTCAATATAATTCCCGAAGAAGAGATCACGAATATGCGAACACGAGACGGTTTTTTCGTCTTCTTTCAGCAAACTGGCGAGCACCTTGTCTAGTGGCTGACGCAACTGATCGTAGCACGTGTGCTGCACCATCTTGAACAACGTCTCACGATCGGTGTCATCTATCAGTCTGTCATGAAATACTCTGTACACCTCGTGTACCCACAATCTGATGAGCTTGTCGGGATCCTTCATTCTAGCGGCAGGTACCAATAACACGCCCATGATTACGCGACTGAAATCGCGCAGATTAAACGTGTAATGGCTCTTAGACGGTGTTGGCAAGAAATTCTGGATAGCCGCGAGGAACACTTTCATAGTGGCGTTCACTACCATCTTACTCAATCTAGAGACTTCGGTGACGAAGCCCTTGGCAAAGTGCCATTCGAGAATCGACGAGAAGATCTTCTTCATCGTGGTCTCTTCGAAGGAATCGATGCCGATCACGTGCAAGTGACGAATGAATCGCGGCGACACGACGTTTGAGCCGCCGCCCGGTGGTATCATAGCGCCGATCATCAGTATATCCGCCAAGTACAGCATGGACATGTCCTTCGAGTCGAACCAGTACCCGTGATCTATCCATTGACGCAGCAACTCTATCGGTGGTTGAGCGCCGTAAGTTTCCACTTGCGGTAAGCTGAGATCGTCGACAAACAGCACGTATTTCTTCCCCATCGCGGGGCCGTAGACTCCTTTTCTTCTTCTGTCTAATTTCGACATAACTATCTCTTGTGTCAGCGGCGCGCTCGTACGAGCGCTGAAATTTATAATGTTCTCCAGAAACTTCTCTTTGGACAATGACATGAGATAGTTGAGAACGATTGCGGATTTGCCTGTGCCCGTTGGACCCACGAACAAGATTGGCACTGCTCTGTGTAAGAATTGCTTTATAAAAAAGTTTTGAATGGACATCTCTGTTGTCTGGATGATTAACTCACTGGCCTTCGCCGTTGCCGATAAGACTACCTGTGAAACATGTTAATTAACGTTTTTTAGTATATTTGCATATATATATATATATATATATATATATATATATATATATATATATATATA